ATTTTTGTAAAGGATTATGTAAAGAAACTACTCTTCTCTATTCTTTCTCTTTACATCACGGTCATAAACTTTGTGTCCCACTTGGGTAAGGTATGAGCGTTGTGTCATATTTCTTGCTTTTTCGTGATTTGCACTCAGATTTCAAACATAATAGTGTAGCTCTTTCATCTGTACATTCAAAGGGACACATTTGTTTTGGGTTCATTGCTATTTCTGAAAATTCTTATCTCAGCTAGCTCTCCTTTGAATAAGATAAGCTACATTAATGTTTAGTATGAAATGACAATGGTATTTGGTATTTTATGCATCTCATCGCTTTATTTTCTTTTCCTGCTTTCGTCTCTGTCTCGTGTTTTCCGCCATCTGCTCCATGTTCCACACTTCCAGCCGTTTCCTCATCCGTTTCAAGGTAATTAGTATGAGCTGTTTGCTTGTATCCTGTTTTGAAGCATTAATTAGGGGATGTGGATACTAAATATCTTTTTGAATTGGTACCACTAGATTGGATACTTGTTTTCTGATGTGTTACTTGAGGTGAAAATCGCGCAATACTTTCTCTTTTCATTTTGTAACATTTGACTTCAAAGAACCAAATTCAGAATATGATTGGTGTCGCACCCTAATTTCAAATAGAATTTTTTTCTAATATTCGAATCCTTTGACCGCAATTCGTTGTCCGTTGAATGGTATAATTACGTGACCTCTATAGGGCGCAAGCGATCTTATCATGTCTCTTGCTCGAGTGAAGTAACTAAGTGGTTAATTTGACTTATATATGTTCCTCTTCCATTTTAAAGTTAACGGGAACTGTTCCGTTGATAGCAGTTTTCGCGTTGTCCGCTTATAACCTGTAGCTTGGTTTTTTGGGAAGAATATTCACCTCCTTGATGCCATGCAAAATTGCTGTTGGGAATAACATTTCATGATTTTGGGTGAATACAAAGGCAGCTAGTTTTAGAGTTTCATTTCGAACCATCTGGCGTGATGTACAATATGCTGACAAAAGAAAGAAACATTTTTTTGTTAAATATTCCTCTCACATTCTGCAGTGAGTCGTCTTCGCATAAATGATGATTCCTGAGATGATCATTGAGCAATATCATTAATTCAGTGTAAGTCTTTCTGAAAAGAGAGGGAGAAGTTTTACATACTACATACACTTATAACTTTGCAGAAAAAACACGTTATTTTACATGAAAATCCGTCGCGGCGTCGCATCGTTACAACTTCTTTCAAAATAATTATCTTTTAAAAGTAAATTGGTGTTAAACTCAGCTTGTGCAGAAGAAACGTATGGGAGTTAGTTTAGCCTTTACAATATAAAGTTGACCAATATCATACGTGCGGAGATTTTTGGACATGCCGTATATAAAAACGCTTGCGATACTGTACGGCCGGCACCTCTATAGACATAAAGCTTGCGCAGTGCGAGGTTATCTGATATTCAGAGTTTGAATAAAGCAATCCTTATATTTTCGGGTCTGATAAAGTAGAATTACGTTAACACAAATACTTTACACTATAAGGTGTTATCATACAATCTATAATTTTTATAAAAAGTAAGGTGCCCAGAAATCTCGTCCAAAAATGCGATATCCATAAAATATAAAAGCCAAGATAAGGTAAGAGTACCGTGTGCTGTAATGGTCTCTCATGTGTTAAAATAGAATATGTTAAGTCTCTTCACAATTTTTTTTACTCCTAGACGCGATGGGTTTCGCAGTTGTCTTCTTGTCGAAATGCCCATACTTCTAATTCA